TTGTTATATTATTATAGTATTTAATGTATCTTATGAGTTGGTGGTGTGGATATTGCTCTGATCTTTTTCTTGTAATGTCATGCCTGTATTCTTGCTTTTAAATACAAATATGAGTACTCAATTAATTTCTATTTAATTTTTTAATTTAATTTTTACTATTTATATTGATGACCTCTAGGAAATCAGCAAACAGTTTTTTTCTGGGAACTGAGCTTACCTCTCTTCTCCTAGAGATTTATTGTTTGGAAAATGTGAACCACTGTTTAAACTGGAATGATTTCCAACATGCCTTCTCACTCCTGCTGTGTTTTAAAGGTAGCTTAAAAAGTGTAGAAGACAGGTTTGCCAAAGAATCAGGTTCAACTAAGAAAATATGTACACTTCTTTGACTCAATAAACTCATACTCTGTATGGTTCATCTTCTTCATATTTACTTTTGCCCATATTAGAAAACAATTAGCTTACTAAACAAATTTGAGTATTTGGGAAGAAAATATCTACTTTGAGTCTCTCTCATTTGACTAAGAATTACATGATATTTGATAAGCTTGTTTAAAAATGGACATATCCAAATATTATTGTAAACACCCATTGATTTGTTTTACCTGCAATATAAGTATTTTACTTAGTTGGCTTACATAGTAGCTAATAATATTTGTTAATGTAATTTAACTGCTGTGAACCTTTACTGAACAAATATTGAAATTTATACAAGTCAAAGAAAGAGAATCTCTAATGACTTTTGTAAAAGCTTCCATTTAATAGTTAAGGAGAAAAGTTTATATGACATACCAGATGCAATTAACAGTAGATTTTACATTTAATAAAAAGAAAGAAGCATATGTATTTGCTTTATTCATTCCATCATAATTTGCATTAGAGCTGTGGGTGTTTAATGAGCAAATTCCAGCTAAAATGCTATATTGATTTTCTAAGTGAACTTTGTAATAGCTATCTACCTTACAAAAGCTCTCTGTTTACAATTGTTTTCTTTACTAAAAACTAAAAATGTTTTAGAATTGATGAGTTTAGCATAATGATTCTTTTAAAATAAAGAGCTCTTTTAGAGTATGCATGGATTTTAGTTACAAGGAGAAAGATGTTATTAAATTATTCCAAAGCAAATAAAGTTTATTCAACTAAATAGTAGTCATACTTGCATATTTTACAAGCATTGGAAAATAATCTTTTTTCTTAATTTATCACTATAGAAATTGAACATTTTAACTCTTGATTATCATATGTATATGAATTTGAAAATGACACCATTTTAGCTTAATATTTGCCCCATTCATACTTCATTTTGTATGTCATTTTTGTGCTTGAAACATAAGTACTATAGGAATTTGCGTTTCTTGTTGGTCAGGCCTCAAGATAAACAGGATAGGGTTGGTTGGCGTGCCATTGGATGCTATCCAAGAAAAACCTCATGGTTCCAACCAGAGCAGTGGGTAACTAAGTAGCTGGATCAGGCATCAAGCCAGTATGCCAGTATGGGGCTAGTGGTTTACTTGGATATACCATATCTTGAATGAGATTTTGGAACCTGCCTTCTTACTTTCAATTACTTTTTGCCTGGCATTTGAAAGAAAATTTTGGTTAGTAAACTAGATATTTTTGGCTGTTTTTATTATGGGGGATTTTTGTCCCTTTCATACACATTAAATTATGTGACTTGACATGTCACACGCTTATGAAATATTTCATCAAATGTTTTGTTTTATTGCTACACTGAAACTCAGAGATGAGATGTATGCGTTTCAGTGGCTTATTTGAAGAATGTCATGAAGCTCATGATTTGGATGAGTTGTGTCCATGAGGAAAGTGCAGTATTCTGCTGTCAGTTTCCTCAAAGTCATGAAGACTAATGTGATGCTGAATCCTTGTTTGAAAATGTTCAGAAATGTTTTTTATCCCATGCTCTTTGCCCAATTTTCCAATTAATCCTTATAATTTTTTAACCTAGGGTTAGTGTTTATTATTTCCTTTGGTCAATGTCAGTAAAATTACATGGTATTAAAATGACTGTGCTAAGTATCTTTTAAAAAAACAGCAACACAACTTGTGCAAATTAAGTCGCTATTTCGTAGCCAACAGCTTAAAGACAGTAATTTGTAATGATGAACCTTTGAGTGGGAGAAGAGTTCATTGTTCAAGGCAACCTGCCTCTTGGTTGTTATCAGGGATGGTGAGATTTGAGATAAGCAGGATGCTTACGTCACTTGAAAAATCTCTGAATGTTTTCATACCACCATACATAAAATACTGCTATATATACTGCTGCTTCATACTGCTATATATAATGTCTTTGATTTCAAGATGAAAAAGCAATAATACAGATTTTAAAAGCCTGTGTAGTCATTTATTAACACTAGTTATTATTCCTCAGAGAGGGAATTACGTATGCCAAAACATAGTCATAGTCCTGCTAAGTGTACTCACGTGCTCAAGATTCATTTTAGCATTCAGCAAATGAGAGTTTTCCATGCTGACATAAGAGATAAATAAGGTATGATAGAAGGAGTACACTCAATAAATAGATAAATAACCTCCCTCCCTTCTCCTCCCCACCCTCCTGAAAGAAAGAACAACAAGAGAAAGATAATTAATGCCAGAATAAGTGCCAAATCTGCAGTTATTTTAGACAGCTTTGTACTCATTCCAGCAATTATTTTCATGCTGAAAATTGCATAATATTTTCAGTTTTGCAGCTTTGTGGAAAGGATTCTCTGTGCGGTATCACTGGCGTAATAGAAGATAAAATGACATAATTTAATGAAAAAACTATAGTAAATGTATCTGTACTTTAAGGTACAGATAGGTAATAATTATCATAGATAATAAAACTAATTGTATATTCCAGATCCAGCCAGGACACAGAGGTTGCACTGTGATGTGCCTTAGAGATGAATCACTAGTTTCCCTATTAGCACTGATCACAGCAAGCTAAATGGAAGTCTGACGATCTGAAATGCATAGTCTGCTCCATACAGTTTGTTCTTCTTCTTGCTGAACCACCTACCTTTGCAGGCATTGGACTCCTGCAAGTGCTACAGATTTGTTCCTGACTACCAAACTGTGTACATGCAGTTTTACAGCTGCTTTATTCATGTCTAAGTTTTGTCATTCCGTATCAAGGACAGTCTTGTTGTGAATGGCAAATAAATCTTCTAAAAAATAATACTGTTCATGTGGAAGAAGAAAATACTCAAATGAGAGAGAATTAGATCAATGTTTCATAAATTTTGTGTACATACCAAATTCAGGGTGCTGATGCTGATTTCTTTTGGGGTGTACAGGGCTGGAGGGATGAAGATGCATTTTATTAAATGGATTTTTGTGAGAGATAGGACTGCACCCCCAGAAGTAGCATTTAGCCTTTCTTTATCCTCTTTTGTCCAGTCTGCTGTTACTGCACAACCTTTTCCCTTTTTGCTTGAGATGCAAAAACACTTCTTTACTTCTCTGTTAACACACTTCTCTGTTGCCTTGATCATCTTCCTAATTTGTCTCCCAGCATTCTTTTTCAGTTCCTTTTCTCACCCATTTTATTTCACTCGTTATTTGAGCTTCTTATATTATTTGTTTTATTCTTTTTCCTCAGTACTGATAACATGTAAGTATTTTGTGCCACTGATACAGCTGCTACCAAAAACTCCTGTTTTCTTACACTTTTTAGTAAAGAGCAACAAAGTGTTTTATTTTCCACTGTGAAGGTCTTGTGCAATAATGTACAAAGGCAAAGTAAGAGTACAGAAAAGTAATTATAAAGGCAGTGAAGTTAATCTTGATTGAGGTAAGAGTGGAGGCATAAAAGCTCCAAATAAAGAGGAAGGCTTCCTCTGCAGTCTTCACATAATGATTTCAGCAGTGGCTCATAGTGGAGTTGAGAGTTCTGACAGGAGTAAGGAGGTCCATCAGCAGTGGCTTAATACAGAAGAGTTTTGAGAAGAGTAGTAAACATTGCCAAAATTCTAAAGCGAGGTATCAGGAGCCTGTAGCTAAACAGAAGCTCAACACACTAGAAGACGAGCATTGAGAATTCTGGGACCTGCAGACCTCACTTATAGTTTTTGCTGGAGGTGCCTGTGACAATTAGGGAGGATGTAGTCCTCTTTCTGGGACCCACAGCAGCCTTTTTTCTTTGGCATCCCAGAAGTCCCTAGATATTCAGGCTGCGGGGTTTTATGATGGCTGTGAGGAGATCTGCAGTATTGCAGAGGGAAATGAGGAAAGTATGAATAAAGATTTTAGTGAAGGCAGGGTGGGGGTAAGGATTTTGGCAGTGTGCCAGGGATGATGTTAGACATACTGACAGGGGAGAGGCAGGAAGAAAGCATAAGCTCAGGATGAGGAATGACTAGAAGGTGTTAGTTTGCTCCCAGGGATAGACAGTAAATCTTAGTTTATTGGTACCTAATGCTCCAAGGTCCATGTATGCAGTAACAGATAATACAACAGTATATTACACAATAAAGCAAAGGCTTGGCAGAGTAGGAGACGTGCCAGCTGTGCCACTTCTGTGATACTAGAGATAGACATGCTGTGAAAATATTAACATTTTTAGTATTTATGTCAGTGTGTCATTGTGATATGAAGCATTGTGATGACAGATGTACTTTCAATGGGTCATTGCTCTTAACTCTATGTACTGTAGAAGAAACCTACTGTATCTCATGTGATCTGGAGATTTAAAAATTACTTTTCCATGAAGCAAGTGTTGAGAATGCAAAGCAAATCAATTCCTTGCCTTGTTTCAAGGGTGAATTTGAAAACCCATGGCTTAATTTAATTCTTGAAAGATTTAATTTCAGCAGTCAACAGCTATTTATTGTTCTGTCTGGAAAGTAATAGAGAGCAGAGCAATCTGAGGTTGGTGGAAAAATGTTGATTTATGGAGATGCTGAAAATGGTCCATGTAAGTGTACATAATGGTGTATTTTCCTGCCAAACTGTTACCAGCTGTTACTGTATGCCAAACATACTGGTTACTTTTGCAGCTCTGGTTGAAGAAGTTTATTCTGCTCAACGGGAACGTGACAAGGCTGTCATGGCAAGGCTTAGGTTAGCCAACGAAGAGAGAGATGAAGCATTTCTACGAGTCCGGCGTTTAGAAGAGTCACTCAAAGAGTAAGTCTTTACATCCTGTCCTGTGCAGACAGGCTGTTGTGTGGATATGTAAAGGTCATAAATTGTTTGACAGTAATTACGCAGAAAATCTTACCTTAATTTTTTAGCCATCTTATGAGACCATATTTTTCTCTAGATACTAACTGCAAGTTGAACAATTTGATTACAAAAATTATAATATACAAAAATATAATCAAGAGCTTTGGTATTGATTTATTCAGAGATAAATAAGAGTAATGTGACATTTTACGAGGATCTTTTGACATGAAATACAAGAATGTCAGTTAGAAGTTGCAATGTATAGAAAATCAATCAAACCTTTAAGCCCAGGAGATATTTCCTACAGCAAAACTTTTACTAATTATGTGGATGATTTGGTAAAAATATGTTTTCTTCCATATCTTCATTGTAGAAGCAGTTTTAGCACATGAAGGGTATACTTAATACTTTCTAGAAATTTGTGTATGCCATGCTAACCTAACAGAAATAGTCAATCTATTGATAATAAAACTGTTTAGTCAGGAGAGGAAGATCATAAATAGCTTCTTTTCTGACTTTGGGTATAGGTAGCCTTGAATCTACAGCTTGCTTCTTCATGTAACCCTCCTCCAATCAGCTTGGTTACCATTCAGTGGTAACCCTTTACTAGTTGAGAAATTTCCTTGCCAAGAGAAATGGAAAAACATAAATAAGAAAATGAGTAACTGAGAGAAAGTTAGTACCTCTCATGGAAAATATGCATAAATGTTTGTGGAACTTCATGAACATGAACTTATTATCTACATGTATCCTCGTGAATATTTGTCTGTTCCCTGAGACCATTCCAACACAGTACTTGCTTTATGTTCAGTCTAGGCTAAAATGACCTTCAATCTCATAATTCCCTGTGGAATCTGTTTTGCTTGTTTTTAATTTCAAATTTTCATTCTCCTTCTTTGCATTGCAACTCTGTAATTACACTTCTATCGCTTATCTACTTTTTCTTCCCACTTTCCTTGTCTGTCTTTTAATTCCACTTCTGTATCACTTCTTCCATAAGTCAAAGAAGACTGCACAGCATAATTAAAATAGTAGTAGCTAGAGGAAAATGTGAAAGGCAAAGATATGCAAGAGAGGAAGGGCAAGCAAGATAGGAGGACTGAGGGAGAAAAATTAGTATACTGAGTAACATCCAGTAGTAATCATGTTATCTGCGTCAGCTTTCTTAATATTTGCCTCTTTCCTGATCTTTTTTACCTATTAAGTCAAACTGCAGTTTTGATAGGAATGTTGTAAACTTTAACTATATCAGACAAGGGTTCCTTGCCCTATTCCACCAATTTACATATAGTACTACCTCAGTCCATTCTGACCACAACCATTTCCACAACCTGTTAACAAGCTGACAACAACCCATCCTTGACCCTTGTCAGTCAACTCTGAAACAGCACCTTCTCAATAATATGATGTTTCTTCCTTAAAGAGTAATACTTTAATAAAGAGAAACATTGCTTGTTGTGGTTGCTGATTTGGATTTTTGGGGAAGAGGTTGCATTCTTTTTCTGTGAAGCCTTTGGGGATTACAAACTCCAGAAGTCCACATGCACTAAGCTTACAGGATGCTTATTCATGCAGCTGTACACCTTGGAAGCAGGAAGCAGTCAAGTGGAGCCAAGATTCTTGCTGGACAACCAGCCTGGCTCAAGCACGGCAGCTTTTCATTACATTAAGCATCTTTACTAACTGTGTAATGCTTACCTGAGGTGACAAAATATGCTTTACTTCTTGGACTTACAACATGTTGCAACGAGAGGAGAAAGCCAGGGTGGTGCTGCAAAGAATTGAAGTGGTAAAGGCTCAGATGATCTCTGCAGTATTCACAAAAGTGGAGTGATTTAGACTTTGCCCCTAATTTACCAGTAAATATCACCTCACTATATAGCTTCAATAAGTCTTATTCTTACAAGCTTTGTAGTTAACCACACAAGGAAATTACTTTGCTCAGCTTATTCATTCTAAATAATTTAATACTGTGGCTGAATGGAAATTTTTGGGGAGCATTCACCTTGCCACTAGTCCTTCAGTAGGAGCAGTGATGATAAGATGAGCCACAAGAAACTTAGTTCATTTTGTTTAATTTGGGTGGCTTATTTCCAAAAATGTTGTATTTTTCCCAACTACCATCCTTCATATGTTCTTCATGCAGTTGTTTAAAATACCAAGCTATCTGTCTGAGAGGTGAAGCCTACAGAGTATTTTTTGTAATGTTTTTAGGCTACTTGTGCCACAAGCATCAAATTTTAGAGCACAAGTCATTCCCTCCATCTGCTTTGGACTTCTTCCAATGAGAGATTTCTACAAGAGGGCAATACTGAACAAGCTGCCAACCCTTATCAAATGCTTTAATGCTTGCTTTAAATTATGTGCTATAGCAATTCTATTGTCATTATTTAACTGTAGTAACTGAAATTCTTTCTGTTCTGTTAGCCCTAGGGTACGTATTAGTGTAATGTGTGCAGAGATGGGGGAAGAGGGAATCATTGATTATTGATGTTTAAAATCAAGAGAAACATCAAGGCAAATACTCAGCTCTAGATGTTCAGTATTTTTAAAAAATACTGTCATCTTAGAAGAATGCATCCTCTGTGACAGCAGTTTGCTGAAAAGCTACCCTTATGTGGGAACTGATGTTCATTTTCCCACCCCCTTTCCAGTCTAAGGTGTCCTGCTTACCCAGCCTTATGGTTGGCTGGGTGATTTGTTAACCCATACTTTTAGCAGGGTAGAAGTCCTCTAGAGAAGCAGATCAGTCCTGCCAATTTACTTTGGCAAATACTGTTCCTGTCATGTTGAATACAAACTAGCTTAAGATCCATTTTTAAGTCTCTCATGAAGTGAAACTTGCAGCATTAATTATGAAACCAAAAGTAGGAAGTCTATGAGAAGCCAACTCAAGGAGCCAGTTCTGATTTTATGATTTATGTTACTTTATGAATATATCTATAACCCACCAAAGATTAGCATTTACCTTTTTTTTTTCATTGTTTCGTTCTGATGCTGACTGTAGGTGTTGGAATAATTACTGCTTTTAAACTCCATATAAATAAACTCCATATAAACACACTAGCTACTGTACATAATAGTACATTCTGAGCTGTTTCTTTTTTATTTAAGCAGTTAAGTTTTGTATGGTTGATTTATCATGCATTATAAGTAAAACTAATTCTTTAAAGTAAAAGATGCTAATGTTCTATCAAGTACTCTATGATGTTTGCTAGCTTAAGTCTTGGCCTTAGAGCAGCATCTATCACAGCACTGAAAAAGTGTGCATTGTTTTATAGCAGATGTTTAGTGGCTACTATTTATCATTTTAAATAGTATACAAGTAACAAATATTTTTTTGTGAAAGTGACCATTAAATAAGTAGCAATGAAGTGGTGTAATTGTAATATACTCATTTTTCCAGAATAGAGGTCTCCTCCATTTTAAAATATGTATAAATGCTGTAAATACTATGTTGTCCATATAATTAAGCTTAAGTAAAGTAAAATATATAGGTTGTTAGATCTCAGTTGTTAGATCTTTGCACTGTCACTCAGTGCTTTTGCACAATGTTCTACTGCGTATAACTAAATTCCTCATATCATTTCTATATTTGACAGATTAGAATACATACTATGAAATGAAATGGGGGAAAGCAAAAGCAGCTTATGTGCTTAAATAAGGACTTTGCAGGGGGTTGTCCTAACTTGCTATTTTGTGCAAGATACAAAAGCAAAACATTTTCAAGGAAACTTCAACTAGTTCAGTTCCTCCTTTTGGAAGAGAGGTGGGAAAATAATTGCATAAAAATGAAAAAGAAAAACAAACCACAAAACAAACATCTTTACAAACCTTGTCCTGTTACATTTATGGTGTACTAAAAACAACAAAAGTACAGTGTTGGGTAAAAGTTGTAAGTCCAGAAATAAATAAAATAAGAGCATCAGTCATTTCTATCACTGGGGAACTTTCTTCATCTAAGCACATATGAACAATTGATCCTTGTAGTCATATATAGCAGTAAACATTAATAACTTAACAGTCTGAAGTCAGTGCTGAAGATATGGAGCATTATTGAAAGATGGAGTCGAGCAGGTGGCACTTTAATATGTTCAGTGTCATGGTTGACTCTAAAGACTAGTAGAATGAAATTACTTGAGGTTCTAAAGATTTAAAAAGCGAACTCATTTTGCTGCACTAAGGAAATGCTACTGATCAGGCTTTCTGTGTCCCTTTTTTCTAGGCTAGAAAATATTAACCCTGAAGAAAATGACATGGTAAGCCATTCTCTGAGGAGATTTCTTGATGTCAGTCTTATATCTTAGAGGCTTAAGTTCAATTGAGTGGGTTTCAAGAACTAAGATGTGGGAAAAAGAAGAATTGACACACTAATAATGTACATCTTTGCTGCAATATGAAAATTCAATAACTTCACTCAGTCAATTTACAATTCACATGTGCCTATTAATTAAAACCCTATATTAAATAAAATATATTAAAACTTCATGTCTGACTAACATATAATGCTGTTGGTAGACATTACAGGAATTACTGAACAGAATAAACAATGCAGACACAGGGATAGATATACTCAAGAATGGAGCTATAATTCTGAATCGAATACACAGGACCAAAGAACGTAAAAAGAAAATAATAGCTGAGGAAATGAACACAGTGATAGAACAACGGGATGCTGCTTTGTCTCAAGTAAGTCTCTACAAGTATGTAATCAATACCAATTTTTAAAAATTTTTTTATTTTTATTTTTTTTAATTTTGGGGAATTTACTTTGTTAACTTTCTTCTGTTGAAAATCTCAATTACAGTCCCTATAGTAAATGGCTGATTAACAAGCAACAGTTTCTTCAAGGCAGTAGTGGTTATTGAAATGACACCGATCTATTTCACAGGAGGGATTGTGTATTCTTTCTACCTGGTCACTAGCTGACCCTTTAAAAACAAATAAATATTGTATTCATTATACTGAGTAATTTAAAAAGGTGTTAAGATCTTAATTTTCCAGTATTCTGTAGCTGTATAAAACAGTTTGTGATTGGGACTCAAGGATTTGTAAAGAGTGACAGAAGCATACACTGAAGGAAGATAAGACTGCTGCATGTGACTTTTTATTGCTTTACATTCAGAAGCTGAAAATTGGCATGTGGTCCTTGACTCTCGATGTTTAACACTTCTACTGTGTAGCTTAAAACAATCTGGTGTATTCTCTTCTGCTCAGATCAATCATTCTCTTTGCTTCCCTATCTTCAAAGAAGAATATTATCTTCATTCTCTTTACCCTGGAGAGTATCTCCTTATTTTTCCTATCACATAGAAGAGTTGTTATGTTTGGGGGTTTTTTCCCACAGCTTTCTTTCCTGTTGTTTTTTTTTTAACCTAGATTGAACTCAATAGTAGTAGTCTGTAGAAAGAATACTAAGCAGGGGGCTACATCTCACAGAATTTTAGACTGGATGAACATCCTTACGCTTTCGTGCAAGGCAAGAAATTTCATCTATGTCTTGTTCCAATATTGAAAATTTCAATGTCCACTGAATGTGAGCTTATACCTAAGTAATTCTTTAATTCTAACAGAATTAAAGTCAAATCTGTGATCTTGACTAGTATTATGATGATTGAATTTATTTTGCATTGACATGTTTTTCTGTAAAAGAATACTCTTCCACTCACTCTGTGATTCTCATGTTTTGTTTTTTTTGTTTCTTTGTTTGCACTCATTTTTTTGCATTCTGTCCTCCTGCAGCCTTGAAAGACTCATCTTCTCAGTTCCTAACATATTTTTTGTCTGTATCCTGTGTGCACTACAAAAGATACTGATGAAGTTAATGTGGGAAGTTCACTTTTTCACAGTGCTTTCTTTTATATTAATGAGGAGCAGCATAGCTACTCAACTGTTCTGCCAAAAAATTTATGCTCTTTATTTTTTAATTATGATTGGATTTCTTATTTGCAAAGGGCATTTGGAAAGTGGCAGCTTATTAGAAAAAAAGCTTTTAGCTCAAGAGAAGGAACTTTAGATAGTTTTATTTTTCTTCTGCAAGATTTTGCTTCTTTGGCGTAGTAAACTTTTCAGACACACTTGGACTTTAAATATTTAATGAAAGATATCAGAAGAATGTCATTGCAGGGTGTTATAATATACATTTTATTTTTAAGCTACCTGTTCAAGGAATAATATACAGACATTTATACAATCTGGCTTTCAGGTAATCAAATTGGAACTTAATAAAGATCATTAGTTTATATAATAATGGGTTAATTGCCACAGCTAGCAAAGCTGTCTTTAGGCCTGACAGCAGAAAGCATAGGTAATGTTACATAGGTACTGCAGCTGAAAAATAAATAAATGAATAAAGCAAAACACACATTTCCAAAAATTTTCAATATTTGGTATTAAGGTGTAATACTGTGATAGTGTTTGCAATTTACAATACAATTTTTTTTTAAATTAGTTATTATTGTTAATAAAACTTTATTACTCATGTATTATGCTTCCATATCTGTGATTCTTTTATGACTGTAGCTATCAAAGCTAGAAAATAGATCCTATCGTTTCAACTTGCATTTCTTACTTGATGATTCCCTGGGAATTCACACAGTACTTGAATTATTAGTAGTCTTTTGTTAACATTGCAATAGCAGTAGTTATTACAGTGCTAACAGCAAGAACAGTAGGAGAGGGATTCCTACATTAGACCACAAGGGGACTAGGAATAATTCAGGGGATGTATATGCTTAGCATAACAAATGCAAATTATTAGAAGTTAGATCTGAGGTCGCCTCAGGTGTTCATAACATCTCCAAGTTAAAATCTTTTTCTTTTCATTGAAAGTGACATTAAATATAAGGGTGGATTGATGAGAACAGACCAAGGCAAAGCAGAAATAGAGTAAGCCATTAGTATGCTATGCCTCTCTTCTGCAAAAAACACTTTTAAAGTTCAGAGGCCATTGGCAATGGAGGAAGCTAAATACTTCCTGACACTTTATTTGAAGGCTGTGTTGCTCTGTTTCTGCTTGCTCTTGTGCAGTGCTGGAGACTGCAGTGTCATTTCAGTGACCACCATAGCCAGTTCTATATAAGAGAAGACTGTCTATCTGAGAATGTTGGGACAGAAGTTTAATAAAGCCAGATCTATTATCCTTTGTAATGGATTTGTTCACAATACCGTGACAGCTGACAATTTAACACCATAAATATAAGTAACATCTAGTGTTCTACATGTAGGATTTCTGATTTTTCTCAGTAAGAGAGAATAACACAAAAGTTTTCCCTCTCAGTAATGTTGCTTTGATTTCAAGTAAGCTCCTAGAGAATGGGCAATCTGTAACCTACGCTTTTTTTTTTTACCGAATATATGCTGTCTGATTTCAACTCATCTTTCAGTAGCTTAGCAAAAACTAGGAGTTTTACACTGCCTTCCTGGTAGTTATACTGTGAAGGTACTCTTTGCTGGACTGTGGCTGCATGCATTCTTGGTAACGGTTAGCTAGTTGTCATTCTTCTGTTGAAATTTCACTGGAATAATTTTTTTATTCTTAAAAAGAACTGCCAAAGTCTTAGCACATGAAAAAATTCTTTGAATCTTCACACCCAAGCACCTCTGCATCTTTTTTGAGATTTTAAATGTGAATGCTACTTCTCATTAGGAAGCAAATAGAGGCACTGCTATCACTGTATTGAGCTGCACATGTGTATGTAATCTTAGATCATTCACTAGATTGCTGAGCAAATATGCAAACTACTTTTTGTGTGTGTGAAAACAAATAAAATGGTATAAACTCAAATATTTGATACTACTTTTAGTATGTATTTTCAAGTGAATAAAAAACAAACAACTAAAGCGTGGCTAAACATTGACATCCATCTTCTCTTGTACCAGCCTCCTTAAAAAAACACACTCAACTGTTTGGTTGTGTTTGCTAAGATATATTTGTTAGTGAACAGATACTGTGTTGTACTGGGAGCTTGTGTCTGTTTTATGACCGATCCTCTGAAAAGAAAATGGAGAAAGATGTTCTATTTCTCATGACTGTCAACATAAGTTTCTTTTTAAATGTTCAGTTTTGTCTTAATCACAAGGAAAAATCTCACTTTCCCAGTTTGTTATCCTATAATTCTGCCTTTCTTCCAGAGTCTTTCTTGCTTGATCAATACAATTAGTGACCGATATTTAGTAAAGCTCACGTATGGCCACAGTCACATTGTGGAATCTTCATAAAATAATTTAAAGAAAGCGGTTTCCAGCAGGAGGCAATACAGTGCAATATCTCAGACAAGCAATCACCTATTAACCACATCATACCATATGGACAGGAATGTTAATATGATTTCAGAGTTTGCAGCTGGAGCCAGTGACTTGATAAGTCATAATCACTTTCCTTATGGTTTAGAGAAGAAAGGGGACCTTTCAGTTGGTACAGCTTGAAATAAGTGATTTTTAAAAACAATACAAGAGATGACTTATTGTTCAGAATGTTGTGCGTGTGATATGCTTTTCATCCTAACTTTCATTCTGTAGATAATTTTTAATTGGCAAGTCAGTTCTAAACAGAATTTTAAATATTAAAGATGTCGTGTTTTCTATTTAACAAAAACAAACAGAAAACCAATAGGTTTCACGGTTGGCAAAGTATCATCTGTAATACCCTGCTCTTGAAGCTATAACGTAAACTGGCAAGCAGACCTGGTTTTACAGCTTTGAATAGTTTGATCACATCCTGCTGTGCAGGAACATGCTTATGACTGCTCATGTAAAAAAAATTGGCACGCACCCAGTTGCTCATCTGGAGCAAGTTAAGTACCTTCCTCCATTTTGAGGAACTGTTTGGCAACAAGCAGGAGTTTAGCGTCATTGAAAACAACAGTGAGAAGCACTGCACTTGACTGCCCATCATTATCAGCTTCAGCTAATGACTAATAAATGTCTGCTGTTATAAGTCAGTTTCTTCCTTCTTTTTTGTCAAGTCCTGCTTTTGTACCAAATAAGGTGTACAATTCTATTTTCTGTGTTTCATAGAGCATTAAGGCATTCTCAGCACACCTCAGTGAACTGGTCTTACTGAAGTAATAAACTCAAGAGTTGTAATATATGTAAAAACAGCAAAAGCATATGTAAATGAGAAAAAAAATGGATTACATATCTTGGATCCTTAATTGGTGAAGGGTTACAATGTTACATGACTTTTACCTGAAGGAAAAGATAATTCCTTTGCAACCCAAAGCACAATTTGGGATATTAAATATATTAGTAACCAGTAGTTCAGTTTTCCATTCTGTGTTTTGGTAGACTTAGATGTTTCCCAAATAGGGATAATGAATGAATTCTTGTTTGTACAAACATGTTTTGTGGTGTCCTAGCTGCTCTTCTATCTTTCCTTTTGTATCTGATAGTTGGGAAATGCAAGAAAAGAAAAGGTAGAATGAATTCACCATTGTTTGTGAACAAGACAGCTGGTGTGAATTATAGATAATTTTTGGTCACAGGCTTATTTCAGGAGGAGAGAGAAGTTAAAGGGGCTGTTTATTGTAATTTGAGGATCCAAGGGCCATGCTGGTTCCCACTTGTGGCTGATTTGCTTTGAGCGTGCAATGGCAAGTTCCTGTTGCCTCACTTGCAGTGGGAAGCAGCGAATGAGTAGGCAAGGAGAAATTGCTTGCAGGATGGTTAAAGCAGGGGAAGGGAGCTGC